TTTAGGCAGAGTTTTCAAACCTGGCCATAGTTAGAATCACCAGGAACTTCTAAAAGTCAAAAATCCCACAGGCCACATTGTAGACCCCTCCAATGAGAATCCCTGGATTTGGAGTCAGCTGTTACTATTTGTAAAGCTCCCCAGGAACGACCGTGTGCACCCTTGATTAAGCACGTCCCCGCCCCCCCCCCCCTGAATCCCAGACCCACCTCCCTGCTCCCACCCGCCCTACTCAATGGCTCCCTGCTGGCTGCCCATGCGCGTTGGGGAAGCACCATGACTGAAAACACACACGGCGCTGGCCAGCCCAGACCTGCTACATCAGAATCTCTGGGGCTGGGGGTGGGCTCGCTCTTCCTCTCTAAAGTGAGGGGGTCGGACTGGCTAATCTTTGCAACCCTCCTGGTTTCAAATTCTCTGACACCGTAAGTGATCGAATTGGGGTGATATCAATTAGGGAGAGAGGAGGGTATGGATGTAAACCAAACCCACCTACAAACACTTGGTACCCGCGAGGGAAATGTGGGAGGGGCTCGTGGCGTTTTATGGGCTATGAGAAAGCTTTGCCACAAGACGTTTTTGGACCTTGCTGCAAGATGGTGAGTTCAGCGATCTGCAGAGATTGGCAGGGGCAGTTGGGACTTTTATCTCACAGCAGGCATCAACCTGTGTCCTCCACCCACACTCCTCTTGTTCTTCAGAAACAAGCGTGCCAGCAGACAAGCTTTAAACCGCTGAAGGGGAAAAGGCTCCGTCTTCATTCTCTGTGGCCCAGGTGGTTGGAGGATGCCCTTGTTGATTGCTAAAGTGGCCACCAGGGGGCAGTATAGCACAGCGTTCTTCATGAAGGCCTTTCCATTGAATCGCGTTTGAAAAAGACTTCTGTCTACACATCCACTTAACAAACCTAGTTACCACCTTCGGAAAAAGAAGCAAAAATAAATCCCCGAAACATGACAGAATTGCAATGACACCGAACTTATAATCAAATTAAAGAGTGAAAATATGGAGCCAAACGTAAATAAGCGTTGTAAAAATGCCTGAAGGAAATGATGAAGGAAAGTCTGGCACAATTATGACCTATGTAACTTAACGTATTAACGTTTAGCGATGTTTTGGAAAAATACAAGCAAGATTTCCGCCGTGGATTCTATTCAAATTCGAAGGAGCTATGGAAATGCATTTCAGTTCTGCCTCCTGGCCAGGATGGTTAGGGAAGCCGGCACATGGCCACTGTAAGCCCACAGGGAAGGCAGTTAGATAGCACAGGATATGCTCTGCTTTCATCTCCACTTCTAGCCTCTGGGGAAGCTCGTGGCAAGTCGAATACCTTCATCAGGAAGGTTACCCCTTGGAAGTTGATGTTCATGTTTGGGAGTCTTGTTCCCTCCAACAGCAAATAAATGGCTGTAATCGCAGCAGTGGAAATGCCAATGCATTTTAACTTAGAGCTGTTTAAACTTGAGAACCATTGGAGTACACAGAATTGCAATTTATGAATTTGTACCTTATTCCTCCTTGCTAAGGACTTTATGCATGGCATGTACACAGTGCTCTCCTTGTGTGGAGGAGCAGGGTCCCTTCCCCCAGGGTTGTGGTCGGCAAACTGCAGCTCGAGAGCCACGTGCGGCTCTTTGGCCCCTTGAGTGTGGCTCTTCCACAAAATACCACAGCCTGGGTGAGTCTATGTTGAAGAAGTGTCATTAGAAGAAGCTTAAGTTTAAAAAATTTGGCTCTCCAAAGAAATTTCAGACGTTGTACTGATGCTATTTGGCTCTGTTGACTAATGAGTTTGCCAACCACGGCCCCAGGGGATGGTGAATGGAGTCAGAACTCCGGAGAAGAGTAGGCAGTGGAGGGTCCAGGCCGAGGAGAAGTGAGGAAATGGGCGGGAGGAGCTCATGGGGGCAGGCCCTGGTAAGGCTGCAGACACCCTGGGCAGCTATTTCTTCATGTTCATTCTGGAGCCCCTTATTAAGATGGAAAGGAGTTAAGAAGTGATGTATATCGGCCCTAAAAGTTGACACCTTGCAACCTGCCCAAACAGCTGCCTGCATCGTCTGGGGCAGATCCCCTTTGTCCCTGACCCTGTCCTCTACACTACCTTCAGCCCCCGGTCGGCCTTCCTGGGCTCCTGCCTCCTCTAGGCTTAGGAGATGGATGGTGGCCCTTCAATGCTTTTTGGGGAAGTTGTCTTAAGAACCAGCTCCAGCCGAAACCGGTTTGGCTCAGTGGATAGAGCCTCGGCCTGCAGACTGAGAGGTCCCAGGTTCAATTCCGGTCAAGGGCATGTGCCTTGGTTGTGGGCACATTCCCAGTGGGGGGTGTGCAGGCGGCAGCAGATCGATGTTTCTCTCTCATCGATGTTTCTAACTCTCTGTCTCTCTCCCTTCCTCTCTATAAAAAAATCAATAAAATATATATTTTTTAAAAAAGAGCCGACTCCAGCTGTCCTTATCTTTTTAGTGTTTCACCCACATCCAAGTAGGATGGCAGCTGGCTCTGCTGCCACCTGCTGGAAGGTGACAGCACAGCAGCCTGCAAACCTGGACACCAGCATGTTCCCAACCATGAATGTGCACAGACGTCACCGTCACCTCTACCTGGCGCACCTGTGCTCTGACGCATGCACAGAGGTCCACACGGGCATCGTTATCATCACCGCAGCCAGGTGCTTGAGAGAGATGGCAAATGAACAAAAAGCAGCCTTTATAGCAACCAACCTCCGCCCCCCGCATCCCACTGCCTTCAACTCAGGACTGCAGGCCCATGAGGCCATGGCATTATCTACCGCCCTCATTGGCAAACACAGCTGCCGAGTGCTTCAACACACATGGGGTGCTTTTTTAAAACATCAACAGCCATGTGTCAACTCTTTTGAGTCACAGAATTAAATTGGGAATTGAACGATTTCCAAGGTCAGTTGCTCAGAAACTCCACCCTGGAGGCAGCATCTTTAAATATAAATTATTCTGGACGTTTGATCCAGGTACCAGGTCAACTTTTTATTCAAACTATTTTTTAAAAAACACAATGCTCAATACATGATGAAATTCTCCCAGTTACTTACAAAATGCCATCACAGTTTAAGTGCTAGTCTCTAAATGAACTCTGCACTGAAGGAACAAGAATATAATTTATTATTTTAGAGGGTGGTTTTATTAGACACATATTTTCTTCCAAGCAATTGGTAACTTTCTATATACATACGAAGACCATATATCTCTATCTATCTCTATATCTATCTATCTATCATCTATCATCAGATGATTGATAGATATAGATAGATGATAGATAGATACAAAGATACCAGAATGTCTGAATCAGGCCAGAGGCTGGGGTCATATGCTATTATACTTATGCTCCCCTAACCGCCTTAAGAGGGAAAGATCAGGTACTTCGGTCACTTCCTGCCAACAACCACAACCCACAAGGTTCAAGTTTTGAGTTTGAGAAAAACCATTTACACCTCCTATTTTTCTGACACCTTTATCTCCCAGATGATTCTCACTCCTGTAAGTTTCCTCTCCTGATGTTTACTGCTGTGGTCCTAGCTACCTCAATTCAAAACATTCTCAGGCATATGCTAAGTAAGGAAAGTAGCAACTGCAGAGAGGGGGGGAAAAATCCCATCGTTCTCCCTTCCAGATGGGTAACTCCCTTAGTGTTTGGGCAGGATTTGTGTGGAGGAGGCATCATTGAAGTCCCCACACTCAGCCTGAAACACTGAGGTTGGTCAATTGTACTTTTTGTGGCTACAGAGCTGGGGGCAGCCTGTTCTCCGCTCCGCCTGTTGATAGGGTTAAATCCGGAAGACGATGCTTAGACAGTGGGGGTAGGAGTGGGGGTGGAAGGCGGGGCTGTGGCAGGCAGACTCTTAGTCATTTGGGCTTCCCTCACCTCTGGGCTCCATGCTTACAAAGCTCTGGGTTGTCAGGAACTAATGTGGACCCCCTGCCTGAGCTGGCAGTGTTCCTGGGCCTCAGGCACATGCATTCATACACATGTTGCTTCACAGCCTCCGGGAGATGCCTGGTGGCTGAGCGGGGGCGGGAAGGATGCTCAGAGCTGATGCATCAAGGAGAGACAGCCAGGTTCTGCCCACACCAGGCTGCATACAAGCTCACAACACCCACCACCCCCTCCCACCTCTGCCTCCTGCTTTTCACCTAAACATCTCTAGAAGCCACTTTTAGGGCTGCACATTGAAACCTAGGGTCTCTCTGTGCCCCTTACCCCCCACCCCAATCTGCCCAGCTCTTACCCTACATGCTGAGCACAAACTCCCCACCACCCCATCCCTTCCTGTGCAGAGGCCCAAGCAGAGGCCTCAGGACCCTGACCTGAGTGTTGCCGGTCTCCCTGCCCGAAATGCTCACCTTCCCAGGTCCTCCTCAGGGGACGGGGTGAACCTCTGCAACGCTGGCCAAGGCCACTCCAACCCACACCTTCCTCCCAGCCAGTCGCACAGCTTCCCTTTCCTCCACCAGCAGCGGGGCCCCCTCTCCCTTCCTCTCAGCTCCACCAGGCCACGGGCTCTCAGCTGGTCCCGAGTGCCCGGGGAGCTTACTGCCCACCTTGGGGGGGAGGTCACGCGAGGAGACGGCCTTTCATAACTGACCACGTCCAAGTCTCTCCTCCCCCACGGCGAGACGAGGACTGTTCTACACACACTTACAACCCGTACGTTGCCTTGTGCAGGCAGGAAACTATGTCTTGGTTTGTTTTGTGGTTCCTGGCCAGGTAACCAAACTCAAGCATCGGCAATTCCCGGGGGACAGTTTTTACAATGAACTTTTGCAGGGAGGGGAGCGTTCGTCCATTGCTGAGGTCCGGGGAGGGCAGGTGACAAGGTGGCTGTTTCATCCACTTGTACGGCTTCTAGAATGGAAGGGCAGATGCCAAATAGAGGGGTGGATCTTTGGCCTTCGAGGACAGCCGCTTCCTCTCTGAGATAACTGCCCCCACCCCCAGCCCGGGGGCAGAAAACACAGTGCAGGTCACAAGCCAACAGAGATGTCCTGCTCCCCCGTGGAGCGCGTGTAGACGGACCCCCCGCGCTCAGGGGCCTCCCCCTGGAAGACGGGGCAGCGTTTGCAGAGGCGGCGGGCGATGTGCTTGCGGAAGAAGGCCGACAGGTGGCTTCTGAACTTCTCCCCGACGAAGGCGTAGATGATGGGGTTGATGCAGCAGTGCGTCATGCCCAGGGTCTCCGTCACCTGCATGGCCTGGTCCAGCCGATTGGAGCTGCTGCAGTTGTTGAGGCCGAAGAACTCCTGGAAGGTGTTCAGGAGCAGGACGAGGTTGTAGGGGGCCCAGAAAAGGAAGTAGACGATCATGATCACGAAGATGAGCCGCACGGCCTTGTGCCTCTTCTTCTCGTTGCGACAGCGCAGCAGGGTCTTCAGGATTCCCGAGTAGCAGACGACCATGACCAGCAGGGGCAGGACCAGGCCCAGGAGCACCATCTTCAAGGTCTGGAAGTTCTTCCAGAAATGATACTGGCTGGTGGGGTAGTGAGGGCTGCATGTGCAGCGAGCACCCTCTTGTTGGGATCGGGTGAAGATGATTCCTGGGAGAGAGGCGAACACGGCCACCACCCAGGTGACCCCACTGGTCACCACCCCAAACGTGACGGTCCTGGCTTTTAAAGCAAACACCGCGTGGACGATCGCCAGGTACCTGTCAACGGTCAAGAGGATGATGAAGAAGATTCCGGAGAAGAAGCCGATGAAATAGAGGCCCGTCAGGAGCCGGCACATGGTGTTCCCGAAGACCCACTGGCCGGCTGCGTAGTGAGCCCAGAAGGGGAGGGTGAGGAGGAAGAGCAGGTCGGAGAGGGCCAGGTTGAGCAGGTAGATGTCAGTCATGCTCTTCAGCTTTTTGCATTTGACCAGGATGAGGACGACCAGCAGGTTGCCCACGAACCCGAAGATGAACACCAGTGCGTAGAGGGGGGGCAGCAGCCCAGCGGCCACCTGCCTCACGTCGGTTTTCAGGCAGGGCTCGGACACGCTGTAGTCGATGTAATCGGTGGTGGCGAACACTTGGTCCATCGTGCTCAGCCCCGTGAGGACAGAAGCAGGGATCTCTGGTAAAGCCCCACGGCCTTTAGGCAGTGAGGGGTCCACCATGACTGCGAACGTCTTTACACACAAATGGGTCCCTGAAATGAATACATAGATTTCTACATTTAATTGAGCTTTTGTGTGTGTGTGTGTGTGTGTGTGTGTGTTTGTGTTATGGGTTTTTTTTTTGTTTTGTTTTGTTTTGTTTTGCCACAGAATGAACTCTTAAAATAAAGGGAAGGCTTGCTGCTAGTTTCCTTCTTACTCGCTCTGTTGGGGAAACTCAGAAAAGGACCATCTTGCCAAATAAAATCTGATGGTTCCACAGCCACATGCAGTGGGAGAAACTTGAATAACAGTTTCAAGAAATGGAGCCAGGCCCTCGCCGGTTTTGCTCACTGGGTAGAGCGTCGGGCTGGGGACTGAAGGGTCCCAGGTTCGATTCCAATCAAGGGCATGTACCTTGGTTGCAGGCACATCCTCAGTAGGGGGTGTGCAAGAGGCAGCTGGTCGATGTTTCTCTCTCATCAATATTTCTAACTCTCTATTCCTTCCCCTTCCTCTTCGTAAAAAAAATCAATAAAATATATTTTTTTAAAAAGAAGCATGGTCAGGCACCCTCAGTCCAGCACTGCCTGGCAATCTATGCCAAAGCTGCCATTCCCTGGAGCGGGCTTCCGTGAGCATCACCTCGGGCGTGCTCTGATAATTAAGTTTCCCAGGGTACCATGCATGCCAACCACTAAGTTTCACAAGGCAACTATCCCTCAAGGTGACCCAGTGAGGCGGGTCCCATTACCGCTCCCATGTGGCAGAGGAGACTCTCAGAGTCCAGAGAGGATGCGTGACTTACCCAAAGACACACAGCTGGGGAGCAACTGATTCTGAACACAGGCAACCTACGCTCACCCACCATGTCATCCTGTCTCTCCCTCTTTGGTGAGAGAACCAACGGGCAGGCCCATCAGCCTGGTGCCCCTTTCTCTCTGTGGTCAGAACGAAATGGGCTTGCAGAGACCGGGAACCCCGAGAGGGTCCTGAGGCCAACGGCCAATTGTAACATCCAGACCACTGTCCCCTTTCCTCCGAAGTTTGTGTTTATAGTTCCTGAGTTGCTATGAGTAAGGAATGGCCAAATGGACAATGTCTCATCCGCCACCACCCTTCCTGTGTGAGCTCAGTTCCTTCGCAACCCTCCGGCTCGCCCCAGCTACCCACTCCTGGCCTGAGACTTCTCTCCAATCCTGGGCAGCTGGGGAAGACCATCTGAGCCAGAAAAAGGAGCACACATGAACATGCGCTGTGAGACTCCTATGTTAAAGGGAGACTTTGATATTTGTGGTGATATTAATTCGGGCAATTCTCAGCCTCCCTCTTTTCCGTGGGGGGGAAAACACCAAAAGAACCAGACGGAGATGCAACTTCTGGTGGGGTGAATGCTCAGAGGGCATCCTGCCGGGAGGTTTTGTCTTGATCAGAAGATAACCTTTCCCCAGACTCTGCCAAGAATCCCCTCTCTGACAAAGCTTCCTTTTGAAAGGTCAGGACTTTCAAAGAAATAATACCGTTTCCTTTAGAATTTCTCATTCATAATCGTGTTTTGTATCTTCGATGTTATCACCGTCTGACACTCATTCTAAAGTCTAAGCCCTTCCTGATGGTCAAGATGATAGTTTAAGATAGTCCTTTGAGCACCTGGTGCCTGTCTAATGCCTCCTCAGAGTTTCCTGTAGACGCTTGTACTCATCACAGAAGCTGAGCTAACTCATAGGCAAAGTGCCTGAGAGGTGACTTACCGCGAAGTTTCTGGTGGGGACGGATGTCTTAGCTCCTCTGACCAGCTGAGCCGTGCAAATCAAGCATATAGCAGCTGATGTGCAGGAAGCTGAAGCAGTTTCTACTTAAAGGGGGGGGCGGAGTTGTCAAGCCTACGTATGTTGCAGGGCAAAAAAAATCAGTGAACAGTTCTCCTTTTTCTTTTCCTTTTTTAATTGAGCTTTAAATAGGCTGGAGGGTAGATTTCGGGTCTGTCACGTGGGCTTCCCTAGTTACACGATTCTCTTTTCACGATTCCCTAGTTACATGATTCTCTTTACACCCTGCTCATCCAGCTACACAGGGGCTGTTAGGAAGCAGAAAGAACGGGAGCATCTCGGAACTGGAAGAGTCACATGTATCTAGTGCAAAGCCCTCGCTTTACGGAAAAACAAAAACAAAGACCCCTGCTGTCCACGGGGCACATGGCATGTGCAAGGCCTCGGGGCTTATCAGCGTGAGGCCAGGCCCAGAGATCCATCCTCTTCCTTGAAACTGAGAGGGGAATCCTTCGTAATAACCGGTGCTCCCCTTCACCCATCCTTCTCCCCACCACCTGCCTACTGACACTGACACATTCACTCAGCATCCTGTGCGATTGTTCTCTGTAAACGAAAACAACTGGTACCTAAAGCATTTGAACTGCAGGCTCCCCTGCGAGCAAGCCACGCTGCCCACCTTTCTCTCGGGAGTCTGGTGGGGCCCGTCAGTACGAGTTTCCACTTCACCTCTTCACTGTCTTGCAGCCCTCCAGCCCCGCGGGCATTGGTGCAGGCACTGTGCCAGGGATAGCGGTGGCAGAGTTCCCACTCCCAGAATACGGTCTGTCTGGAGCTGTGAGAACTTGTCAGCATGAAATGGGCAACAAATGCCGGGAGAATAGGGTCGAATTCAGGACTAGATGACAATAGTAGGCAGTCATGTCAAGCTTTCTCGGTGGTTGGTGACTTATCTAAAACCTCAGTTGTTGCCTGCCTGGCTTGGCTCAGTGATGGAGCATTGACCTATGAACCAGGAGATTATGGTTCGATTCCCAGTCATGCCAGATTGTGGGCTTGACCCCAATGGCAGGGTGTGCAGGAGGCAGCTAATCAATGATTCTCTCTCATCATTGACGTTTCTATCTCTCTCGCCCTCTTCTTTCCTCTCTGAAATCAATAAAGATAGATGGATAGATAGATAAATAGATAGATAGATAGACAGATAGATGGGTGATAGATAGATGATAGATAGATAGATAGATACCCCGAAAATAAGACAGTGTCTTATATTAATTTTTTCTCCCAAAGATGTGCTAGGTCTTATTTTCAGGGGATGTCTTATTTTTCCATGAAGAAGAATATGGTACACATTTATTGTTAAATGAAAATAAAGGAAATTTATTACCTGTATACGGTATGGTAGTACGGTAGTTGTCAACACAAACCAGACAAACTGTAAATCCTACAGTATCAAAAATTTACTCATTTATTCAATGACAATCATGTCATCATCTTCTGGAACATCATCATAACAATCCAATTCCTGAATTTCCTGGTGAATTTCTTGTGGCTCCATTTCTTTCAGAATCAGTAGACCAAATCTCTCATGTTTAGCCTAGGCCTTATTTTTTTGGGGGGGATGCCTTATATTTCACTCAGAAGGAAACCTGTAAATAGGTCTTATTTTCGGAGGATGTCTTATTTTCGGGGAAACACGGTAAGTGGTTCCCTGGGTTCCTTGTATATAGCTGCTTAGTATTAGCAAATGAGAAGCTGATTGAGTGAAGCTGACCCTGGTGCCTGGAGACAAGCGGAAGTGGGAAAGCACAGGAATAGCCCCGCAATCCAGAACCGCCCCCCGTGGGCATATATGTTTGTGTGACCACAGAGCCTAAGGCCAGTCACCCTAACCAGGACAAGGAGCCATAAAGGAAATGTCCCGGTTCATCCTGTGTGTCATTCAAGAGGCAATGACTCGGAAACGCACCCTGCAGTCCTGTTGCTGGATGTCAGCCCAGCGTCGCTATTTACTGTGTGACCTGAGCAAGTTACGGAAACGCTCCTTAGGTCTGTAGTCAAGATCGAGTGATACACAGACCCACTGACACAGAGAAGGAGCTACTGGCTGCCAGAGGGGCGAGGTGGGAGACGCGAATTTAAAAAGGGAGGGAAGCCGAAGCCGGTGTGGCTCAGTGATAGAGCATCCGTCTGCGGACTGAAGGGTCCCAGGTTCGATTCTGGTCAAGGGCATGTACGTTGGTTGCGGGCACATCCCTGGTGGGAGATGTGCAAGAGGCAGCTGGTCGATGTTTCTCTCTCATCGACGTTTCTGGCTCTCTATCTCTCTTCCTTCCTCTCTGTAAAAAATCAATAAAATATATTTAAAAATAAAAATAAATAAAATAAAATAAAATAAAAAAGGGAGGGAAAATGCTAGGCTTAGGAAAATAACGTTAACGTCCATCACTTAGATTGTGCTTATTCTGTGCCGGCGCAGGGTGGCGCGGGGCATGAAGTGATGGGATGAGTGTACAGTAGACTCTGCTGCAGATGCCTGTCCTCCAAGGGTGAGTTAAGCAGTGAAATAGGAAGCGTGCTTTAGAAAGAGTTCACAAAAACGGTAGCAAATACATGGGTGTAAAATGGCACCAAAAACAGGGGCAGCTTTGGTTCTGGCATTTCCTGGTGATACATGGCGAGGAACTCTCAGGTGCTGCTGGACACACCTGATGTTTCTGTAGGAGACAGTGGTTGTTTCCGACTTTCCCATGTGGAGCTGGGGCTTTGCCCTGTGTTGGTTCCCGGGGGTGGCTGAGCCCCTGACGGCGTGCTCACCCCCAGAGGGCAGTGTGGAGCAAGGAGCAGGCTCCCTCGCCCACACTGTGGTGCCCACTCACCCGTGCTCTCCGCCAAGACACTTCCTCTCCAGGCTCCCGTTTCCTCATTTGTCCAGTGAAGGCTTAGGCCTGGGGGTCCGGAAGGCAGCCCCCCGCTTAAATAGTGAAGGACTCCTGGCCACGTTGGTTTGGAAAACACACATCAGATGGGAATAAGGCGGAGACGAGGAATCCAGCTTAGCAGGTGCCTGACCTCCTCTCGATTCTGGGTTTAGAGGTGAGTTCAGGTCAGCTCCCGCAATAGGGGTCTGTCCCATGGACGCCCAAGGGAGTGAGAACCAGTAGGAAGGAATGT